GCCCCCAGCCCCCGGCCGGGGTTCCCCGGGCCCACGCCTGGGCTGCGCCGCACTCCGCAACGTGTCTGGCGCGCAGTACGTGGGTTCAGGCTACACTAAGGCCGTGTACCGGGTCCGCCTGCCCGGTGGCGCCGCGGTGGCGCTGAAAGCGGTGGACTTCAGCGGCCACGATCTGGGCAGCTGCGTGCGCGAGTTCGGGGCGCGGAGGGGCTGCTATCGGCTGGCGGCCCACCACGCCTGGGCTGCGCCGCACTCCGCAACGTGTCTGGCGCGCAGTACGTGGGTTCAGGCTACACTAAGGCCGTGTACCGGGTCCGCCTGCCCGGTGGCGCCGCGGTGGCGCTGAAAGCGGTGGACTTCAGCGGCCACGATCTGGGCAGCTGCGTGCGCGAGTTCGGGGCGCGGAGGGGCTGCTATCGGCTGGCGGCCCACAAGCTGCTCAAGGAGATGGTGCTGCTGGAGCGGCTGCGGCACCCCAACGTGCTGCAGGTATGAGAGTGGGGTGCGGGGACGTGGGGACTAGTCATTCTGGAAGACTCCCTTGGTCTCACAGAGTAAGATATGGAGTGCCAATGGCTGTGTCCCCGTGGCAGCTAGGTGCAGAACACGAATTAGGGCACTACTCTGCACCACCCTGCCTGCCTCTCACCCCTTGGGCGAACCACTCTATCCAAGTTAACACACATCTTAAAGACAGGCAAGGACAGGAAGGGCCCAAATTCTGGTGGTAGGGCAGTGGTTAGGACTGAAGACCACGTAGGACCCTGCTCCTGGCTGGAACTAGTTACTGAACACAAATGACCTGTTACTCGATCTACAGTGACCTGAAGCCCAACCCCAACTCCGCTTCAGTCGGTTCCCAGCTGCAGTTGTAGGGTGCCCCGTGTTGATTGAGCCACCTTCTTTCAAAGACCAATGACATGTCTGACTTTGAAGATGGTATAGGATAGTAATGCGGTGACAAAGGGCAGAAAAGACTACACCTGATTTGATTCCCAGACAGTCTCCCACTCCTCACTCAGAAGCCACTAGAAGGGGTAGAAAAGTAGGCCAGAAAATTCACAACCTTTCACAGAAGTGACTGGGTTTCCTCCCAAGACTTCAAATGAGTCTGCTCCAACCGCTGCAGAGTCTCAAGGTCTCAGGCCAGAAGCCTGAATGCCATACTCTCAGAGTGTACTTAGCTAAAAGGCTAGGAGAATCAAAAGGCCGGAGGGGCAGCATCCCACTAAGACTGCCTCCCTGTTCACTGGAGGTACAGGCAAGAAAGATGAGACCCCCCCACCCTTGTCCTTCCAAGCTGGACTTGGAGTTCTCACAATGCCGGCACTGCCCAAACACAACCCACTGCCTCTCTCCAAGGTCTCTCTACCTTGACTCTGTTTAAGATGATACAGACTGCTTCCCTCTGCAGATGCCTGAGCTAATTTGAGAGCAGTCCCCTGACTGCTTTTGGCCTGGTGACATGGGTGTATGCACTCTCCAGCCATAAATCTCACCCACACTACTGACCCTAAGGCCTCTCAGATTAACTTTTCTGTACCCTAAGAAAGGACTGGAAGCCCAGCAATTTCTCCCTCTTCAGCATTGAGAAGGGGGACCCCAGGCCTAGAGGGTTCAGCGGACCATATAGACTACAAGAGACCAGGGTGCTCGTTTACTCCCAGTGGCTCGCCCTAGGACACCCCCCGCCCCAATCCTAGCCAGACACTTGTGACAAGCTCTGACAAGGTCTTGGTCCCTGCGTTGGTCACAGGAGGTCAGGCAGAGCTACCCATTGTGTATGGTTATGCCTGGCTGCGCCGCCACTGACGCTGTGACTGGAGTGGAGGAGAGGCTGGTTACGTGGCCATTCTGATTGGGAGGATCTTGTTCTCTTTGCCTCTCCCGGGTTCTTGGGAACTTTCTGGAAATCCTGAGGTGCCAGCCAGAATCTGACAGGGTAGAGGACTTGAATGACAGCAAGACATTCATTGTTTGTTAACTGATTCAAGGCCCCCTTCCTTAAGACAGGTTTGACACTTGATGGGCCTTCCTATGTCTTAGAGTCTTCTACCTGACCAACCCCAAGTCTAGCTAGCTGCCTACCCTGACCCACAGATGGGACCTCCTCTGTAATTGTCCCCTAGTGATGAAGGCACTAGAGAAATATATTACAACCAAACACATTCATTCACCCATTCCCTTACCAGTGCAGCATGGTCTCCAGATTGACTGTGACTCTCACTTAATCTGAGGCTGGAGTGAGTACCTCTGGAGCAGAATTATTAAGGGTCCCAAGGAAAAGGGAAAAGTGGGGTTCCCTAGTATGTCCTAGAGACTGCTTTGAGGGTGAGTTCCCCATTTATTTTCTGACCCTTTGGCCCATGTCGCTCTGGCTTCCTCAGCTAGACCCCCTTTTGCAGCCAAGGCTCCCTGGGTCATCCTGCTCAAGAGGCTTAGGTGCTGTGTGCCAGGAACTAGAAATCTAGAAATCATGTTGTTTTAATACCGCCTAATCATTTAAAATTTCAAAACCGTTTGTTTGCTGAAGTAGGGAGGAGCCAGAGGACTTTGTAGAGTTCCCAGTAGCCCAGACTCCTGAGGCCCCTTCCCCCTCTCTGAGCAGCATACAGTTGTGCTGTGAGTTCTACTAGCAAATGCAGAGTAGCAGAGGCCCACTGCACCCTTCCCAGCAAACTCTGGTACCAGGGGCTGTCTGGGGATCTTCCTGTCTGTCTTCTGGACCTTCCCTGTTCCACCACACTTGCGCACACACACATAAACACACACTTTTCCTTGCCAGATAGATGCTGCTGTCGTCCAGGGTCAAAGGGTACAAGGGTCTTCTCCCGCCTGATCCCATCATCCTGGGGTCTCAGGCCTCATATGGGTCCCAGGCTGGCCTGGGCCCTAGATTCTGGTCATGCTAGAGCATATTCCTTCTCCCAAAGGAACAGAAGATGCAACTGCAATCCTCAGCATCACGCTTCTTGGTTGGGGGGCGGGTAATGGTGTCTTTTTATTTTTTCCCCCTCGAGAGGTGTTGATTAATACCTCGTTAACAGCGCATTTAACGACCTCCGGGTGTTTAATAACCTTCAGAAGTTTCCCACAAAGGCTGAGACTGGAGCAAGAAAATGAGAACCAGGCCCCAGGGCTGCTCTCTTTACCTTCCCCCAAGCCCATCGGGATCTGGGCCCTCCATGGGCTGATGGGGAGGGGTTGTGGAGGGAGAGAGAAAAAGAGGGTGCCTAGGACTGTCCCTCATCCCCCAAGTTACAGCCCAGGTGATCTGATGGGCCAACAACATTGAGTCAAGATTCTCTGGTGGAGCAGAGCTGGGACTTTGGGGAAGGAAGGCTGATGTGTGAGGCCTGCAGGGCAGCTAGGGAAGGTAAGGCTCCTGGCATGAGGATCCACAATGTACAGGAACATCTAGCCCACAGCCTCCATAACACCCACCCCAACTCCCCACCACATAGATCTACACTCTGCCTTGTGTGGTTTGGACAACTCAGCCTTTGTGCTCGTACCCCATAGGGTGCTGGTTGTTTGGAGCCCATTCAAAGCCAGAGCTGTTGTGCAGGATGTTGGGAAGAGAATGCATGGAGAAGCAGGCCTCTCTGTGCACACTGGTGTGGGTGTTGGTGGAAGGCAAGCTGTGCTCCCCCTGGCCAGCTGGGTGGTACCAGGAGCCTCCCCAGGGTGATTTGGAGGAGGAAGCAACTTGTGATCATCCTCCCCAAACTGACCTTCCCTGAGGATCACTCTTCACTGCCTCTCCCTTTACATGTCATCCACCAGCAGATGCAAAGAACACCAGATGTGACTCTTCACTTTAGAAAGTTCAGATGGTGAGGAAATAGACTAGGATTGGAGCAGGGGGGAAGTATGATAATCATTTGCTGGACTGTGTATTAGCAAAGGGTAAGGAAGAATAGATTGTGAAATCTGGGTGACATAAATTTGAATCCTAGCTCCTGTATTACTGTGTGACCTATTTAAGTAACATAACCTCTCTGAGTCAGTTTTCCTACCCACCATGCCACTAAGAACTGAAGGGCTGGCCAGATACCTCACTGGGTAAGAGTGATTGTCACAAGCCTGATGACCTGAGTTCAATCCCCAGAACCCATGGTGGAAGCAGAGAATTGACTCCTCAAGGTTGTCCCCTGACCTCAGCACACACACCCAAACTCATGCATACCACACACACACACACACACACACACACACACACATTGGTTAAAAATCAAAATAAATTTAAAAGACAAGACCTGGATTATGCATGTAGTACATTTAGCACAGTGCCTGGCACCTGTTTCACACATGGTGCCCAGCCCTACCCATCTCTCTGAGTGGCAAGAGGTATGGGACTAATGTCATGAAGTCAGTAGGATCGAAGGTTGCAAAACACAGGGCAGACTTCCCAGGCAACACTGTTCTCCACAGCCTGAGCTGCAGCCCAGGCAGAGGGATGGCCTCGGGGTCAGAGGGTGGGGCATCTTGACAGTTCATCCCTTCTTTGTCCCCGCCCCCACCCTGTGACCTAATGACCTGCTCTGGGTTTCCCCCAGCTCTATGGCTACTGCTACCAGGACAGTGAAGACATCCCGGACACACTGACCACCATCACAGAGCTGGGTGCCCCTGTGGAAATGATCCAGCTGCTGCAGACTTCCTGGGAGGATCGATTCCGAGTAAGCAGGGAGGAGGGTTCAGGCCTGAGCTTCTTGCTGAGAGAGTTCTCCCTTAGAAAGCAGCTTCCTAGCCACTTGGACTCCTCAGCAGGGGAGGGAGGGGAGGAAGGAGCACAAGTTGGCTCAGCCATGGGCCAAAGGGTTAAACAACTTTTTCAAAGAGCAGGATGAGAATCCTAATGTTCTGTATTCTTGCTGTTCTCACAAATGTGCATGTGAGCAGCACGTGCGTGCGCGCGCGCACACACACATATTCTTACACAGTCACTACAAGAGGGCCAGTTTCCTGGGACCACAAATAACCTTAAGCACATCTTGGCACACCCTCTAGTCTCATCCACTGGACTGAGGCCACACTCAAGCTGTGGCTTCAAGGAAGATTAACTCTACCCACACCCCTGCTGCTCTCTTACCCCTAGTCCGTGCCACGTGCATGGTCAGGCCAGCCAAGGGTCGGTTGAAGATCAGGGCCCTCCGAAGGCCTTGGCCCAGCCTTTATGTTGAACTAGAGGCTAGAGAAGAGAAAGCCCAACTTCCGAGCTGAGTGTAGAGACTTTGAGGCCCAATTCAACCTGTGTGTCTGTCCTCAGATCTGCCTCAGCCTCGGCCGCCTCCTCCACCACCTGGCCCACTCTCCACTGGGTTCAGTCACTCTGCTGGATTTCCGCCCTCGGCAGTTCGTGCTGGTAGATGGAGAGCTGAAAGTGACAGACCTAGATGATGCTCGTGTGGAGGAGACGCCATGCACCAGCAGCACCGACTGCACACTTGAGTTTCCAGCCAGGAACTTCACCCTGCCCTGCTCGGCGCAAGGCTGGTGTGAGGACATGAATGAGAAGCGAAACCTCTACAATGCCTACAGGTGACGACCGTTCTACTTTGGAGCTCTGGCCAGGGAGGGCCTAGCAGGGCAAGAGCCACCACGGGGGCCAGGAGACCAGCTAGGGAGGCCAACCTTCACCCATAGAACCGCAGGGACCTAGTCAAGAGAGGACATGACTATGAAGCTAAAAATAGAGAGTTTCAAGGAGAAGCTGGGTTGGAGGGGCAGCTGGAGGCTTCTTAAAATAGTGTCGCACTCAGGGCCTAGAGCTGCTGGGCCTGGCACATCCCTTCTCCACCCTAGTTCTTGACCTCAGCAAAGCTCCTTGTGGCTGAGAAGCCTCAACTATGGAGCTCCTGTGCTGTTAGGTCCAGTCAGAGAACAGTGCAGTCTGGAAAATGAGGAGGGGTAGAAACATGGGCCTCAGCTCTCAAATTTGGTCTCCAGTTAGTTATGGTCACAACTGTGCCCAGTCCCATGCCTTAAAACTGAGTAGATTCTCTGGGATACTGGAGGCATGCCTAATCCCTGGCATACAGGATCAGTTTCCCAGATCAAGTCAAAGTCTATACACGTAGAAGTGAATAAGTCATATCTCCAAAGACTGGACCCCTGAGCCCCTGGCTTCTCTCTACCACAGGTTCTTCTTTACATACCTCCTGCCCCACAGTGCCCCGCCCTCCCTCCGGCCTCTGCTGGACACCATTGTCAATGCCACAGGTGAGCCTCCAGACCCATCTCTTCCCATCACATGTCCCTCCCATATCAGAAGGGGGAACAAGAAAGACCCTGGGCAGCCTATAGAACCTGTCATACCCTAAGGAGCTTTCTATGGTAAAGGCCCTCCCCAGGCCCAAGCTCGCTACAGGGAGAGAAGCAGCTGGCTCTGTGTGGAGAGAAACAGGAACCCAGGCACCCTGCCATAACCATATTGCACTTCACAGGAGAGCTTACCTGGGGGGTGGACGAAACCCTAGCCCAGCTGGAGACAGTGCTGCACCTGTACCGGAGTGGGAAGTACCTGCAGAACTCCACAGCAGGCAGCAGCAGCGGTGAGTGACCCCAACAGTGACTTATCCCTGGGACCATCTCATCTATGAATTGGATTCAATATAACTCACCCCACAAAATTCTTACTGGGATTAAATGGCCTGCGAGGTGTGTCAAAGCAATTAGCACAGTTTCTATGATGCATCTAGAACACAATGTGGGCTTGCTTCTCTTTCCTTCCTCTGCACTCCCCAGGCTGGGAGCACAGTGTAGTGGTGGAAGGGGGTTGGACACTCTGAACCAAGCAAGAAGCCACTTCTCCCAGGGATGGGGAGAATTCTAGCTACTGATACAGACAGTGGTCTTCTGCAGAAACCCTAGGGTTTAGCAGTGGTTGATGACGGGGGGCAGCATCCGTTTTCAAGGAGCCCTGACCAGTCTTAGGGGTTAGGGCATCCGTTTTCAAGGAGCCCTGACCAGTCTTAGGGGTGGGGGAGCCCTCATTAGCCCTGTAAATAAAGTTTAACGAGGTGAACAATGGCTGCCTCTGTCCCTGAGGACACCGTTTATGGGGCCATAAATCACAGGCAGCCCTGGACTTTGGTCTAGTCCCGGGCAGGAGAAGGAGGTGGGAGGACGGGGAGGCCAGAGGCCCAGGGCTTCTGCATTATCAGTTGACAACTAGGGTTCTCAGGCATTGGGGAAGACCAGTGAACAAGGGCCATGTCTGAGCAGCTTGCAGAGCCTCAGTGTTTGCTGGGCCTCTAGAGAGCTACAAGGACCTCGGCCCTCCCCAACTGCGTGAACCCTGACTTACGGCATTTTGTGTTTAATTTACATGCCTCTTCACCTCAGAAACACCCTGACTGATTCCGAGGAGCTTAGCTGACCTCTTTCCCCAAAGCCAGTACAAAGTATGACCCAGAGTCTCTGAATCCTTGCATTTCACTGTGGTATACATACCAGCAGTACCAGAAGCTAGTCAGATCCTCAGATCTCGGCCAGGCCTCCAGAAATCAGAATCTTGCATTTGAATAACATTGCTTAGAGACACATGTGTACTAAGATGTTTGTGAAGCCCAATTCTAAATGTCTAAAATGCCCTAACTTCAGCACCCAACATGGACTGCTGATGACTCTCCATGTGTTGGGCCTACCCCCTGACACACACACCCCGCTCCATCCCTGGCTTATCTTATGCTACTTAAACCAGCTGCATGGCCTTAAATTTGAGAGAGGAGTATCTCCTCACATCCAAATCTGTGCTTGACTGTCAAGCTAGCTTGACCAGCAGTGGCTGCCTTCATTTCCATACTGGAAGTGCTGGCCTAGATGTAGGCATTCACCTAAAAAATGAACCCTTCAAGTTCAGAGTGACCCTCAGCCCTCACACTAGACATTTGTTCTCATTTTGCTTCCCTTTCTCCTCTTAGAGTACCAACGCATCCCAGACAGTACCATCCCACAGGAAGACTACCGCTGTTGGCCATCCTACCACCACAGCAGCTGTCTCCTGTCTGTGTTCAACCTGGCTGAGGCTGTGGATGTCTGTGAGAGCCATGCTCAGTGTCGTGCCTTTGTGATTACCAACCAGACCACCTGGACAGGTGAGCCAGAGGGAGAAAGTATCCTGAAAGAATGGCTAGACTTCTCTGTAAGGTGTGACACGTGGTGAATCCCCATCAGCAAAACCAGAGGGGAGACAGAGACGCTGAGGGAGACCTATGTATATGTGTCCTTCAAAGCAATCATTTTGGAGAGTGGCCCTGCTGCCAAGGAGAGAAATAACCAGACCTGTAACCTCTCCCCTCTGTCCCTAGGTCGGAAGCTGGTCTTTTTCAAGACTGGATGGAGTCAAGTGGTCCCTGATGCCAGGAAGACCACATATGTGAAGGCCCCTGGTTGATTGGTTGATGGCTCAGCTGACCAGCTGACCATCGTTGCCAGCTGGGCTTCCCTGCTGTGGGAGTGACTTGCACTCAAGGCATTGCATGTCACCTAGGAACCCCTGCAGACAGCTAACATCCCAGACCAACCAGTGTAACCAGGACAAATGTGCAATAATGCAAAATGTTAAAATGTGAGTTTACCAGCGTAGGTCTGAGACTGCTGGCTCCCAGACCGAGAATCATTGGTTGGGGGCTGACCACCTCTTCAGCACTGTGGGCTGCGAGCAGAGCTCAGGCTAGTCTGAACTGGGATATTCCATGGGCAGCCCCATCCCTGCATTTGTGGTGAGAATGTAGCCAAAACTTTAAGCCATGGCAGGTTGGGGCTGTGCGGGGACAAAGCCATGGGAGGCAGGGGCTGCGTGGGGACAATCGATCACAGAGTTTCCTCTCAGCTCAGCTCCAGATGGGGAGCTTGGAATGGGGGATGCTCTAAGATTTGAGTGAACTGGTACCTGGGAAGGCTGTCACTGGCCTCCCGACAGATACTGTTCTCAGGCCAGCCCAGGGATCAGGCGTCAAGATAGCAGTGCACACGTCCATATGAGCCAAGAGTAGGGTGGAGGAGCAGGTTGCGTTTGAGCCAGGACCTGGGGTGGGGAGAGGGTCGGGGCCTTTTTGCCTCATTTGCTTTCAGTGAAAGCCACCAAGCAGCCAAAACCAGGCTCTCCCCCTCCTGGAGTTTGCATATCCAGAAGCTTTTGTACTTCTTGTTCATTAAATTGTTTATTTTTGTAAAAAAATTAATCAATTAATAAAATGGCATTTCATGACAAATGCTCCTTTCAGCCACAGGTTCTTATTTGACTTTCTAGTAGTCCCCTGTTATGTCTCTGGTGTATTTGGGGGAGATTGCGTGTCATGACCTTTGGGGAGGAAAATCTCAATGGCAAACACTGAAGATGCCACAGTATGTTTTTAAGCTCTGCTCCTGTGGTGCCTATTTCCTGCCTTGGCCCTCAATGCCACAACCTGACAAAAGACTTAGGGACCCTTTCCCCCAAGAAGGTTCTCATTTTAACACAGTCTGCTTATTATATACAAAGCCAAAGAAGTCAAAGGAGTATTATATACAACCCAAAGGAGTGTTGTCTTCATGGTGGGGTGTTGGCCACCGTAGCTGACTGGTGGAGAGATTGTTCAGGAAAGAGCGGGTGGACAAGCAGCCTTCAGGCAGATTGGCTTTGTCTCTGACAGTGATGGACCCTGGGCATCACCACTGCCCACCACAAGTTCCATAGGTGCTTTGCTTTTCAGAGACTTTCAGCAAGGAGTACATGGAGAATAAGGAGAAAGGAGGCTCTATAGAAAATCCAGCTTCTGTTCTCTGGATTTTAGGAGCACGATGGTTTAGCAAGGGTGGATGGATACTCAAAGCAAGAAGGAGAAGGAAGAGGAAGAAGGAAAAGGGAGAAGAAGGAAGAAGAGTCCAGGTTCAAGTTCCACAGCCCCTCTTAGTTATAACAAACTAAGGCAGAAAATGCAGAGAATCATTTCTGAGAGATTCACACACAGGTGGCTAGAGGAACAGCTTCTCCCTCAAACTAGTAAGCCTTGTCTCACAACTTCTTTCTGGGGGTGGAAATGGCCAGGCTCAGTCCCACAGAATTAAAGAAAGACATTTGCACCTAGGACTGGAAAGGCTATGGCATACCCAGAAGGAAAGGGATAGTCAGTGGAAACCTGAGGCAGAAGTCTTTCCTCCCTCCAGATGGTCACCCATAGGGAGCCACCTACCTCTCAGTTCCTAGGTGCATCTCATCCTGCAGACACCAGACCATGCCACACCTTCCACCCCCTTCCACACCTATTCTCTTTCTACTCCACTGCACTACCCATGATCAAGGGGAAGTGGATGGAGAAATATACTCACCCACTGAAGTCTCTGGTGATATGAGAGGAAGGAAGCCTAGTGGGTGGAGAGGGCGGGTACTTTCCAAAGTGAGGGAAGACAGAAGCAACATGAAGGGCAGTAGCATGGTCTGATGGTTTCCCATGAGGCTCCAAAGCCAGACCAAAGATGGGCAGCAATACTGGACAATGCTGCTTTTTGCTATCTGGCTGTGACAACTTTCCTGAGTTTCTTCATTTGCAAATTTTAAATTGATAATATCTGAAGAGCTTAATCAAAATGAATGAAATTCTGTCCACAAATGCCCTAGCCATTGTCAGCAAACTGTAAGTGCTCAAAGCATACTAGCAAACACTGTCATTGTGTTATTAGCAAGCTGAGTACTCAAAGTTCATCCATGATGTGGTCACAAAAACAACCACAGTGGCTAAAGAGGAGTAAGGCATAGCAGACTGTCCCCACCTCTGCCTGAGCGCCTGTCTCCCCACCCCCACTCCCTGCAAATAGTAAGTATTGCTTTAGAGTAGTAAAGGTGGGGCCCAGCTCCCGGGTCAGTGCCCTAGGAGTTGTGTGTGTGGCAGACAGAAGGAGGAAGAGGATTAACATGAAAGCAGAAAATGGGATTAGGAAGCCTCAGGATAATGTGCCCACCGCCCCCTGTCCATGACAACAGTTTCTGACTTCCATTCTGTGATTGAAGCATGTAAGACATGGTTGCCTCCTGCTCCTGGGCCAAGGGGCAAGGAGACTTGGTGGCCTCCAACTAGGAGGAGACTCAGCTTGCCCTTGGCTGCCCTTATATGCATTTCTCATTTAATCTGCATGGCAAGCATGAGATGGGTAGTTGTTCTGAGGTGAAGAGCCAGGATCCAGCCTGGCTGCTGTATCCAGAAGCTTGCATTCCTTCCCTTCCACCCAGCACAGTATTTCCTAAAGGTTAAGGTCACCCACAGCACCAATGATCCACTCACACATGCCACTCCACTGAGAAGGCATTCCAGCCTACACCTTGTCTTTGATGCACTGCCCCATGAATGGAGACTGGGACCATCTCACAGGTATCATCCCACACAAAGAGTGAGGATGTCTCCAGAGAGACTGTCCTTGAAGGACCCCTCTGAGGTCTGCTGTGCTGGAACCCCAATCCCTGTTCATCTGTCTGTGGATCCTGTAATGCTATCTCTCACATGGAACAACTGCCACATCAGTCCAACCACATGAAGGAGATAGTTCAAGATCCTTCCTAAAATTCCCTCTCCAGCACCCTACGTACACCTACCTGCCTGGTAGTTCCTCTGGTCTCATTGTGGCTCCATTGTTCTTGCTTGAAGACCTCCCTGCTCCAGCGTTCAGGGGCCCAACAGGAAATGACACAGTGAGCATAAGGTATAGTGATAAGGGTGTGAGCACAGGGGAAGCAAAGGGCTAGTACTACAACCTGGGCCTTAGGAGCTGAGTCATTGCCATCTCTAACCAAGGGAAGAGAGTGGGAGCACAGATGTCTTCAGTAAAGGGGACCATTCACCACACCCTTCTTCCTCCCTCTTCCTAATCATCTACCAAGAACTCCATTGACCAAACCTAACTTGAAGGCAAAGATCTAAGGGAGTTGGTGTGGCACCACCATTGCCAGCACTCTCAGACAGGACACAGTGTGAAAAAAAAAATGGCGTGGAAGGACCAGGAGTCCACTGCGCCTTCACACTGGATGGGTGGCTTGCTTTGAGCAGGGCTAAGAAAAGACCTCCGTCACCAGTTCATTCTTAGATATTTGACTATTTGTTCTGTTTAGGTGAAGTGACAGCTTGGGCCCAAACCTTCAAAGGTAACCTCTACAACATACATTCTCAACAGAGATATTATCCTCTCCAAGGAGACAAAACTTGTCTGTTAAAGGAAAATCTTATATGATGGTTTGTGGCCTTCCAGGGTGCTGCAAGATATAAACAGATATACATGCAGCCAATCTATGCTATTAAAACTCCATGACTTGCCGGATGTGTTAGCACACACCTTTAATCCCAAAGGCAGGCCTCTGTCTGTGATCTCTGTGAGTTCAAGGCCAGCCTGGTCTACAAAGGGAGTTCCAGGCCAGCTGGGGCTACAAGAAGACCCTGTCTTAAAAAAAGCCGGTACCCTGCCTTTAATCCCAACACTCGGGAGGCAGAGGCAGGGGGATCTCTGTGAGTTCAGGCCAGCCTGGTCTACAAAGGGAGTTCCAGGCCAGCTGGGGCTACAAGAAGACCCTGTCTTAAAAAAAGCCGGTACCATGCCTTTAATCCCAACACTCGGGAGGCAGAGGCAGGTGGATCTCTGTGAGTTCAGGCCAGCCTGGTCTACATAGTGAGTTCTAGGCCAGCTGGGGCTACTGGGAGACCCTGTCTCAAAAAAAAAAATAAAGAAAAAAAGATACATTAAAAAGCAGTAATTGGGGGAGGTGCTGGAGAGTTGGCTCAACAGTTAAGAGCACTTGCTGCTCTTACAGAAGACACAGGTTCAGTTCCTAGCACCCACAGGACATCTAACAACCATCTGTAACTCCAGTTCCCAGGGCATCTGATGCCCTCTTGTGGCCTCTGTTGGCATTGCACACATGTGGTGCATTTACATACATGCAGGAAAAACACTTATACACAAAATAAAAATAATAAAAGGTATAAATCAGACTGATGAGTTTCTCACTCTTCTCATAACTTCTTAGATGCTAGTTGCTATGGTGAACATGCCCCCCCCCCCCGTCTTTCATGAGTTGATGATGTCACTGGAGATGTTGCCAAGATATACAAATCCAGCAAGGCCACATATGAGACATGACTGTGGCACAAGGCTGATTTCAAAGCGAAAGGATTGGATGGCCACATCTCGAGTCACTGAGGGCAGTTAGTCTGGACCACCAGAGGCATGGATTCCCCAGCAACTGCCCTGCTGTTAACATTTTTCCACACCCAGAGAAACACTTGTTTGTCCTTGCTCTTCATTTCTTATCTCAGAGTCATTTCCTCATTTGTCACCAAACATTCTCCCCATTCCCATGGCGACAACTCTGTGGACAGGCTTTGGTGTGGAGCTTTCCGAGGATTCTGGAAAGTGTAAATAGATTGTGTCTACTGCTTCCCCCTTATCCATGCACTTATTTGACCCTTCAAAGAGCTCTGGTAGATTAGGGAGGCATGGCTTCTCCTTAGCACAGACAGGCTGCCTTGCCACAGGAGGTGGAGTTTGCTCAAGTGCCCAATAATCCTGCCCTTAGAGGTCCTGTTGACTTGCCTGGTGTCAAAACAAAGCTGGTGGCCGTTTCCTAGACACGTCTCTGATGCCACCAGTTCTTCACGAGGGTCAATCTTGAGGAAGACCTCTCATTTTGTCCTGCTCCACCAAGAGATCAATCTTCTTATTGATCACAGGAAGCTGATGGGGACAAGAGAGGAAAATAAAATTTACAATGTACTTTGCTTTCCATGGCTTAGAAATTCAAGACACTGAATTCATCTGAACTTGTGCAGAAGGCAGTGGGCGTATCTGTATCCCATTTCATTTTAGGACACACCACTTTGTTTACATCAGTCTATAGGTTGTATATAGGATATAAATTGTCCTCAAATGATCTGGTCTTGTCATTTTTTTTCTGCCATCAACAAAAATTTTTAAGGTAACTATTATTCTAAGAAATTACTATTGTACTTACTGAGCAGAGCTGCTATAAGTGAGAAAGACTGTCCAATATCTCAGTCTCCTGTATCTTTTGGGGGGGTTTTTAGGAGGAAGGATTGAGACAGGGTAATCCCATAACCCCAGCTGGCCTGGAACTGACTATATAGACCAGGGTGGCCTCAGTCCCACAGAGATCCACTGCCTCTGCCTCCACAGTGCTAAGATTAAATGTGTGCACCACCATGCCTGGCCACTCCCACATCTTTTTGAACCAGGTTTTGAAGC